TCCATTGCATTGAAGCACCAAAGGAAGACACTATGCTGCATCTAGTATACATAGCATCATTTAACACTAGGGTTTCCAAACTTATGATGTCAAGATATTATCTATTATTGTCGCAAGGTGAAGACTACAAACCCTACCCAAAATTGGCTACACAAATACAATTGACAGTGTTGTACAAGCACAAGCATGTACTAGTTCTATTATTGTCCTTATGATAGTATTCCATATAAAATAGCCTTCACACACTTCCGTTGTATACATAAACTACCTCAAGAATATGCATTGTCGTTTGCCGATGATCTTGCTACTTACTATTATGTACTGCCGATTGAACCTCACTTCTAAAAACACATGTGAGCAATCATTGAATAGGATATCAGTTAAAAATAAAGCATGGAAACAACCATCCCAATTGTCGTCTACACAACCTCAGATCCCATTGAGCTTATCTATTCATTTGAGTTCCCCCCAAATGACCAACATTTGTTGGCCACTTTTGTGATTTGCTCATCAAATGAGGGTGCTGGCCATTTGTGCCATGGCGGCATAGGATGGGGCTTGTTATCAGTAGTGCTTTTCTTATGTATTACTAAGGATAACACCAAAGGCCATCACGGCGATCGCTAGTGCCTGAAGGTGGTGGCAAGGCACCCGCTAGAGGCATTACACAATGTTGTAGGATGGTGCGAGTTTGATGGGCCAGTGGTACGGAGGCAACGTGGAAAGCGCATGGTGCATTGTGATGTGCGATAGGGTGCATGGCGATGCATTGCAGGGCGCAAAATAATGGGTCGCAGGGTGCGAGGCCGCCGAATGACATGGGGTGAGAAGTGACGGGGAAATTATAGGCGGACATTCTAGTTGAGTGGACGCATGAGCTTGTGATGAGAGGCGGGCACGGCATGTCATCCCACTGAGGAAGGCAAGTCCTAGGATGTGTAAGGAATTTGTTCGCGCAGCTGCATAATGACCACTTTTTCACTGGGTGGATTACTTATGACTCAGCTGGCGAGGGACTCGCGTCTGACACGTGTTCTGACTATGTGGGATATGCCACCACAGAAAAAATGGTCAAGTGCTTGCCATTTCTAGTAGTGTAGTAGGCTGGTCATAAGAACCGAGAGGAATTTATGCCTCAAGGGAGCTTGGTGATGACTGAGCAAAACCCTATGCATCAAGTATATTCCGTGAAAGTTGCCTCACCAGTATTGACCGCGGCTCCCAATTTCTAGTAGTGTTGTGCATCTTGAATAAGGATACTACCCATATTGGGCGTATCTCTTTGTCCTTGAAGCCACTCATTCCTAGCTAAGAGGGTATAGCCTAAGAAAGGCTAAAATAAAACATGCAAAACCAATTTGGCTGTTTGAAAGTTTGGGCCCACACCTGATGGCTCTTTCCAAGGTGGACTACCCCATGCTAAGGTTGCATGTTTTCATTCATTCATCAATCACCCATAGTGGAAATACTGCTATGGAGAAAATATACATGATGGCTGTCATGCTAGCCATTTCATCACATCACTTTTGTCTAGATTCGATCCCATATGCTGATGTCTCTCTTCAGCTATGTGTAGAATCTGTTTAGAAGTTATAGTACATTGTTTTGGACTATGTTGGTTTGGTGTTTGGGCCCCAAGAAACATGTTGGGATGTCTCTTGCCTCAGCATGGGGTTGAGTTGGTGGTTTACCCAACTTGTCCATTCTTCGGTGGTTCTAGACACTGAGTTTATTGCGGTGTTCAGAAATGTCGTTGAATAAGTGACACGGTCTTAATATGTAGAACAAAAGGAAGAAAATGAAAATTGAAAAATACAAGATATGGTCAAAACCCCTGAAAAGGGGTTTCGGACCTGTTAGAGCACCCATTGATGGTCTGAGTGCTGAGCATGTTATGGTGATTGGGAAATGCCACTGAGCAAGTGGCAGGGTTCTGTACTTTTCATTTAAAACACAAAAATAGTGTTCTGAATTTCTGGTTAAGGAGTTTGTCAGTTTCTGCCATCGCTTTATCCTTGAAAAGGGGTTTGGAAAATTAGACAATTCAATATGAGGCAGGAAAAATACTGTTTTGAGACTTCCCAAAGAAGGCCATAGGAATCATACAATGAGTTAGCAATTGAAGTGCTGCCCCTAAGTAAGGGGTGTTGAGACTATGGTGACCAATTACACTTCGTTCTACATTGTTCTAGCATTTCTCTTGCTTGTTGCCGACGAGTAAAACTATGACAAGTGTGTTGGTCGTATGCCAACCCCCCCTCGTCATGTCTTCTGCCCGTGGGGTCAGGCAGAGATTGTTTTGCTTGCACTATGGCGTCGAGACCAGGCCCTCCATCTTGCACGGCCTGGCGTTCCAATTCCAAAAGCCGATAGAGGAGTGGGGCCCGCAAGAGTGGCGCCTACTCCAGGGTGTCTTTGCATGCCCCAAGATCCGGCAAGTCCTCGGAACGAGGCCCATGAGGGAGTGGGGCCAGCAGTTCTATGTCACCACCGTCATTTTGTACACCCCTGCCCCGTGCAACGTTGAAGAGATCCACCGGAGTGGAGCATGTGGCCGAGCTCAAGAAAGGAGAAGGGAGAGGCGTGAGGTGGCGTGCAAGGAGGCAGAAAGGATCGTTGGTGATCGACGGGTGAATGTGGTAGGTGACAATGGGAACGGCGAGGTGGCCATGGACATGGGGGCCAACGAAATGGAAGTTGATAGGGCATTGGCGGGAGTGTGTGTGAGTTGGCCGGGCGCTGACTGCCCGCTTGTGGTGGCGTTTGTTGGGAGTAGGCCACGGGAGGCAGACTTGGGTGCGGGAGCCGATGGGGAGGCGTCCCGGGGGCCAAGCTCCATGGATGCTTGTACAGATCCGGGGAGTTGGGTGGACATCGGTGATGCCACCATGAAGGAAGAGCCCCTTGAGGGCTAGAAGCAGCTTGCGCTGCCAGAAACCCGGCGACGCCTTCGTTTCGACTTCGGCGCCGCGCAGAAGTTGGCAAGGGTGGGTGCAGCAAGGCGGGGTGGGGTGGGGGGGCGCGGCAGGGGCTGCATTGTCACGTGATAGGGGTTGTACGATGAGGGCGGCCTGGAATTGGATGAGTAGGGGGCCCACATGACTTTGCAAGGCGGGAGAAAGGGGGCACGTAAGGGAATATTATTCCTTTTATATTTTTAAGCTGGCAGAGCAGCGGCATGGGCTGCACTCCCAATGGTTTTCGGATGCACACAAAATGCTATGTAAGCCCCAACGAGGGCCCTTTGCTGCCTACGCAGCCTGGCTGTGCATTCACCGGATGTGTGACTCAGTGACGCAACAGGCCGATTGTCCACGCGCAGGCGTACGGGCCATGTCGAGGTTCACGTCATCCTTGCAATGCCTGTGTGTGTGGGCTTGGGTGTGAGTGTGTGTGTGTGTGTGTGTATGTGTTAAGTGTGTGAGAGTGTGGGAAACTATGTTCCTTCTCTTGCTTGTGTCTCCTTGCTGCTGGTGGCCACTTGCTGAACAAACCCATGCAGCATCAGTGCTGATCCAGCTAGCATCTGGCTGGGAATCTGCAGCCATCCGTTTTCAACTTTGTGATTTCTTGCGAAATATTCTCTTACTAGCACTGTTCTTGTTGAATGTGAACTATGGGTGAGGATATTGGCCAAACGTTCGGCTGAATATGGGCTGAATAGCTTGTTATTCTGAGTCTCTATGCACTTTTTTTGAATAAGTGCGTGAAGTGGCCAAGTAAAAGCAAACTAGTGGTCCATACCACTTGGAACTTGTAGTGAACTTGTGTCCTTGGTTATCAAGAACCTGACTATCAAGCCATGAAGGGTGTCCCAAATGTGAATGTTACTCTCACTGGCTGTAGTATGCAGCCTAAGTGAGTTTGTTCAGAACCTGCCTACCAGCATCGAAAGTTGTCCTGGCAGTGAGAGTAGCATACATCCTCTCAGCCCTGTGGCTGGAAAATCACTAGCCGTAATCTCCACGAATATTGAAACATATCACAGAACATTATCACCCATCTCTGCCAGCTGATTGGTCATTAAATGACCAGGCAGCGTCAATAAATTGAATTTTGTCTGACTGTCGCCTGGACTTGCTGGCAAGGACATGTGGAGCTGGCCATTCATAGTCAACCTTGCAAACATCACGTTACGGTGTGAGTCGGCGTCTCGGGTCACTAATGATATGCATTTTCCCTCTCTCGGAGCCCACAATGGGTATGATGCAGAATGTCGGAATGCGTGGGTTTGGGGTATTGGAATCGGTGTGCTTTGACAGTCTTGGCGGGCGCCAATCATGATGAGGCATCAAGGGTATTGAAAGTGAACGGGAAATGTGCATTAATAAGTGATCGAGGGTCAGATGGAGAATGTCGAGCGCCGGTTATCTGCCATGACGGGCGTGACAGAGCTGTGGTATGGAGATTGATAGGAGAATGAATGGTCAATGAATTACTGCAATCGTGGAGTGACAGAGCTGTGGTATGGAGATTGATAGGAGAATGAATGGTCAATGAATTACTGCAATCGTGGAGCAACGATCAGGGTGACATGGGCATTGCCCTAGTGTGTTTGACCGTGTTTTGATAGAGTGTGGGTGAGAGCACATACCGAGGGGCAAGGAATGTAAGTCTGAGCCCAAGTTTTTGGCTTTCATTTACATTGTATGCAATGATCACGCTGTATTTTAGTGGATAATGTTGGGCATGGTTTTCATATATCCCAATATGCTTAAAAACAATATTGTACCTTCAAAGCAAAAAATATTGGCAGCCATTGGTAACATTGACTGAATCTGTTGGTGAGAATATACTCATTACAGCCTCTTCTTACACCTTTTGAGCAATATACTCAACAAACACATACAGGTTTGTGTGGAACTTGCTCAAAACACTGTAGCTTAGCCTGTATATTCGTTGCCAACCACTGAAGGTATTCCAACCATCCTCAGTACAAGATAGAGATCCAGCAAAAAACGCAATCGCCTTGGGCTATCAGCAGCCAAAATGGGGCTCACCTGAACTCCTTTAGTTCGCCTGTCCTCATTCATTGTTTGAGGACCGATGATCACTATTGGGTTCGGGCCAACAATATCAATGCAGTTGGCAGAAGTGAGTATGTAAAGTGGGCTGACAATGACTCCAGTGCACACATGCTCTCTGCCTCTTCCTCGTATACTTACTAAGGCTTCGAAACGCCCTCTTGGAGCCCTCAACCACCCATCCTGTGGAAACAACAGAACCACAGTAAGGACAGCTAGACCAAGAAATATGCAGAACATAGAAATGTCAAAGACAGTTATTCATATTTTTGAATTGTATTGTGGCTTGGCACTGAATTTTACCACGGATACCTGGTCAGCATTAAGGCACTGTCTAACATCTGGTCTCACTATTGAATACCCTTGTCACGGAAACAAAGAAACTTTGAGCAACGTGAGTGGCAACACTCTTCAATGGATTCAGCAGAAACTCAAGGACATCATGCTCAGAAACGCACCCAGTATTGTTGAGACACCCACTGGTCCCCATATGCCCTTCCTGAGCAGCCAGAAGACCCTGATGCAACAGAAAACTGCCTTCAATCCGCATGGCAGTCTGTGGCAGTGAGTCTTCACTGAGCAACTCTGTCAACATCTGTCAACTGTACTGCAACACCATTAAGGTGCATCTTGAGTAACAAAACAAGAACGAGTGCTCACAGATCGCACAAAAACTGTGAGCATAACCGAAACTCCAAGGTTGTGAACTGCACTGCTGAGAAACATTGACAACGCACAGTTCTCAGTGCTTTCAACACTGCAACATAATACGCTGGAAAATCGTGCTGCAATGTAGACATTGCTATGACAGCGAGTAGAATTCCACAAAACAACTTAGATCCGAGAATGTCTTTGAATGCAGAACTGACAGTAGAATGGACAAAACACTCTATCATAATTCAAATAGAGTCTGCTGGCTGCCAAGTGCAAGATGATGGTGCAATGCTTGCAGAAACAACAATACACAGCAGTTGGCAAAGAACAAGCCAAACAGTGACATAGTCCTACTGGCAGCATTTCCACATCTAGTACTATCTGACTACACTTTTGCATCTAGCAAACAGGCTTGAAGACTCTACCTGAGTTTTTGTACAAGCACAAGCAGCAACATCAGCATCGTGATCAAATACAAGAAGTACATTGTGAACGCATCTGGTTCTGAGGCTTGCAAACATGCCATAGCCTTATTTAAACATGCCCAACAACCATACATCATTCAGCCACACCTTTGTGCACCATCTCAGGGAACTTAGAATCTTTGCCCAGGATTTGCAGCCCCTCATCTGCTTGGAATAAGTACTGCTCAATCCAACCTCGCAGGTTTGCAATCCGTGTAAAGATACCTCCAGCCCTCTCTGTGGCTGATGCATTCACACATGACAACACCCCAACAAGAACATCCTTTCCTGGTGACCCTCCATCAGCACTGGTCCCATTGCTGTTACGCAAATCTTGCACAACTCCATCTGATGGCCTGTGCGGTATTATTGCCGGTCCACCCACATCTCCTGTGTGCACACATTTTACACGTGTCACTGATTTCCAAGTCCAGCAGGCACTGTTGGAAACATAATCAGCTGTGAACAACGTTCGTGAAGCCAATCACCATCAGCTGTGGATATGATCCAAAAACACCAGTTGCAGAATGGGAGGGGCATCGACAGCTATCCATGTACCTGTGTGCCTCCATGTGACCCAAGCATTCTCAAGCCGCAATGAAAACTGAACATGTCACAATAAACTCCACAGCTCTCAGCTCACGTCATTGAGGATGCAGGCATTCTGTTGTCAACATTCGTCTTTGGTTTTGAAGTTCAGGATGCTGATATGTCTATGTGTACTAAGTAAGAAATCTATGGTCATTTGCCTTTGTTCCTACAGTGAATCAACCACACACCAGCACGCCATGCTCAGCTGCGCCTGAGGTGCTTTGTGGCACCATATGGCGTTTCACAAATGGTCCACATAGTAAACCTGTCTCCCTTCCTGGAATGTAATTATCCTTTGCGAGCCCCTGTTAAGTACTACTCTCTTTGGAAACTACACATCTGCACCTTCCCCTCAGGCCCCAGCACAATCGGCTGCGCCACAAACATAGCAGTTCTCTGTCTGCCACAGTACCATAATTTCAGGGAAACAAGAGAGTCCAATGAGAGGGTGGCTCACGAGAGAATAAGCCCCAGGTGGAATATTTTGCCCCCAAATTCCAGATATCCTGAAATCCTCCAAATCATTCAACAAACTCACTCCACCCACCAGATTGCAAGCCTGCACGTTCAGAATGAGCACAGAACATGTGGGACTCCAAGCTTGCAAAGTCGGAGAAGAAATCGTTGCTCATCACACTGTATTGTGCCATCTGGACATTCACATCTGGCCTCAACAGAAAGACAGCTGTGCCCGGATACAGCTTTGAGGTTCGTGGAGCAAGCAGGGGTGGCTGTCCATCGACTGGCGTGGACAGTCTGAGTAACGCTGCATCGTACCCATCCTTGAGATTTCCAGTCCACCTAGGATGGATGCTCACAGCATCCACCTGTGAAATCAAGCAGCAGAGTATGCACTCAGTTCAACTTTGAACAGGCATTATTGGCATCGATCTGCCTCTGTATCACATTCTGCCTTCCACCAAGCATTGCTATCAGTGACCTACAAGATCCACTTCCCTCAAATCGATTTCTGTCAACTGGCAAGGTAGTATACCCAAGCTTGCTGCTTTGGCCACCACTTTCCTTTGTGCACAATTATGAGCTTGCATACATGGTTTGCACTATGGAATGCAGTGACTGGGTTTTGGACAACGTTTGCACCACTTCTCTTTCCCTTACATCCTCGATTGCTGAGCGTTTTTGGCACAGATGTTTGGTTCTTTATTATTCTCATTTTCTGGCTTGATGTATACAATGATCTTTGATAATGAACACTGACAGTTGCTGTTCTCTCCTTGTATTCGCCTTTCCTCTCCCCCTGGATTCCTATCAAGTCTCTCAAAAGGTGAAGGGAAAGAGCGAAGGATGACTTGTTGTTCTGTCTTGTAACAATCACTAGGAAAAAAGGGCCAAATAACACGTGTTCGATCGGGTACAAAGTTTACGGGTTTGTGTTACTTTTGAGTTCTTAGCGTGCAAACCTTTGATGAAAAGGGTTTTATGTGTGTTCGCAAAAGTGTTATTTGGCCCTTTTTTCCTAGTGAATCTTGCCAACCTTTCTGTTGTCCTCAACCATGTTTGTGGTCATGACCCAACCCACCCCCCCTCTCATCAGCTATCCATGGATTCAGCTCAAGAAGAGGAAGCCATTGCAACACACTGGCTGCAGAGCACTGATTGTTGCAAACTCCTGTGACCCTTCAAAATGCAAAAAGCACTGTGAAGAGCTGGACCTGTGGCGTCCATCAATGTGAGGCACACATGATGCTGCAGGCCTCACAACTTGCACCTATTCTGATCACTGGGATAGGATTCTAGTCGGTTGCAGAGCAGCCACAGTCTGATTTAAAGCACAAAATAGGGAGGTAGGGATATTAGTGACGTGCATACTACATGTCAGCTAGTGACAGTTCTTCACAATCCAAGAGAGGATTCATGTTATATTTGACGATTGCACTGGTTTTCAGTCAGGAACGAAGTGCACGAATGTTGATGATGTTTGAGGAGGAATTTGTGGCAGAGTTGATGTTGTCAATGGCAATTCATAAGTTCAATCATGTGATGTTGGTAATTTCTATCATTTCCTTGGTGACACTGCTGCATAGAAACGTACGTTTATCATGACTTTCTGAGTTTTGCCATTTCCTGCATTTAATTTTCAAAGTTTTCTTTGTCAACTGCTTTGTTCAAGGTTGCAAACGATGTGACTTTCAATCAGACTCCTAATCTGATCTAATCAGACGCCAACAAAAGTTCTTTCAGATTGATTGTTGCAAGTGTAGGGGAAGGTGCCCAATAATTAGTTCCAAACTCAAGTAACGAAAACTGACAGTGCTTCGGTTCTCAACGGCTCCTGTCATACAAAGGCCAAAATCACTGTGGTGAGGGGGGTCTCTTCTCGCCGATGTGCCAAGCTGTACTTTACGATTGGTATCACCACTTCGTTGAAAGTTGGTGCTGGCATCCTAATAGAGCAAAAGTCGTCCAAAAGGCCTCCAAAATGATTGATCGGTGATTGTGGTCCAACCGCCGCTAACTTTTACCCAATTCAGCACTTGTTGGCTGATCTACAACCCAGCAAAGGAAAGATTCTTTGCCTGGTTTTAGACATCCCAGTAGTGAGTCACCACCTGGTCTTTCCTAACAAAATGTCTCTTTCAACATTTGGACTCACCTGAGATACAACGATTTTAAATTGGGGCTATTTGTTGTGGGACAAACCAAGTAGCATACAAGACCCAGTGCTAGTATCTCATCGCTCTGTTCGCTTCCTTTGGGTTCCCATATGCAGAAACAGTTAAATACTGTAGTATGTTCAACAATAGATTCAATATTCAATACAATGTGACAAGGCAATGCTGCCATGGCCACAAGGGGTTCTCACCCAGTGCAAAGCAGTGTGTGTAAGCAACGTTGTTCACAGTGCACTGTGCCATGGATACCAAGCCTGGTGGGCAGCTGCTGTAGAATTATGTGTTGCAACAAGAAAGACTGATAATCAGCTGCTCCCTATGCACACATATATTTCATGCATTTGTGGTGCATATCCTGACCATGGCATTCCAATATATGCTTGTCTTGGCACATTGATGATCAACAGATGATCGATGTGCAGATGATGCTCCTGCTTCAATAGCATCTACACAAATGGATGGCAATTACTTTGCAACGTCAGGGAAATATAACATTTTGAATGTACATGCATAGAACTCAACAGGCCCTAAGCTCAAAGACCAAACCCACCCTCTCTTTCCCTCTTAGCATCGGTTGAACACTACCAAATTCAAATTGTTAAGCCAGTGTCTTACACAAGGCGATGGCAAGCAGTTATGAGCTCCTCAACAGCATGTTCTGGCAACGCGCTCTGTTATTTTATTGGTTGCAACAATTGCCTCTCTCATCTTCCAGCACGTTCCAAATATGTTCGCAAGCTGCCACAGGGGGGGGCGCAAATTCTCAAAAAAATCATTAGGACAGAAACCAATTTGGGCGCCTTTTGGCTGGCCCACATTCGCCATGGCTGTGCAGTGTTATGCAACGACTGTGTCAAACACCCTGTGCAGTACTCCTAACCAGAGCGATAGGCATCTGGTCACAAAGCACTTGCTATGATTTCATGGCAGGGAGCAGCGGCAAGGAAAGCTGGGCACCCAGGCCAATTGGTATTGACAACAACAGAAAAATATGAGTCTTGTTCGTGACCATTAAAAAGGTACACCAACCGCATTTGGTGGAAATGAAGCCACGATGGGGTTTCACAAGTGTCTCTTCCACATTTCTGCGCTCAATTTATGCACCGAATTTTACTTCTGAACACATATTCATGATCTTTTGTTAGCAGTGGTACTGCTGTTCTTACTCAGCAGCCTGTTTTAGGGGACGGAGGAAGTATCTTTCGACTGCAGATCTCTGCCCCAGCACCGAAACCTGGCAGGTCTTCTTCTGGGGATGCAGGGCATCACAGTTTCAACATTGCACCTTGCATTTTGGCATGCAAACACCAATAGGTTGCATGCCAAAAAAAAGGTACAAACCTTGCCAGACAATACAGACTATGAGATCAGCTGCGCCAGACAGGTGCAGACGATGCATTCCGCAAGTGCACAACATGCAAAATGATGGGATAAGCCCAACACCATTACCTCCATTTCTTGTGCAGCTGCTTCGCTGCCCTCAGGATCGACACGTGTGACAATGACAGCAATATCACGATCCAACGAGGAAATGCAGTGTGCAGCAGTCAGCACAAAACAGTCGTTCAGAAGAACACCACTGCATTGGTGCTCGTGACTCTGCATGTTGATAGCCACTAAATACGGAAACCGTCCTGCTGGGGCCGTCATCCAGCCCTGCCAGCACACAGATCCACAAATGCCACAAATGCATTAGATGCGAAGCCATCCTGTCACGATGCTACAGCTACTGCTATCAATAGATAGAGTAGGCATCATAACATGCGCTCACAAAATTAAACACCAGCTGGGCTGCATAGATTATCAGAGTGAGAGAACACCCGCCAACGTGCAGGTGCCAAATACGACACATCGCAATCCTTGCACCAGCAGTCATGCTTGCAGTGGCAAGGATTGTAGGGCACACTGCCATGTACGATGCTTGCTCGTTCGTATATTGCCCTGCACTCAGGAAGAGAAAGCAGCAGGATATTCCTCATCACGATTTTACCATGCTAAAGTGGCGCAAGCACGGTGTGCACGTGGTGTGCAAACAAATACAGACAGGACATCAACTATAGCCATGCGCATCTGCTGCACATTGAACAGACGATGCAAAAGGCCAACACCACTCGCAGCACCCGTGCTTTGTACAGTTGTTTCGAAAGTGGCCTGTGTGCACACCAGCACATCGTCAATCAAGCACCTCTTGCTGCGTGCCAGAACGATGTCTCTGGCAGTGCTGTGCATGCAGTGACCACTGCCGTGCCATTGCTGAGCAAATAAAGCTCAACAAGTGAAACAGGGAAGTGCAACAATCATAGTAAAGGCAACATCAATACCTCCGTGTCAATCCCCACCAGTGGCTGCCTTTGAATACTTGCTAGCCCTGCTGCACTGTGCCAAGCTCCCAGCCACACTACTGCCACCACTAATAAACACCGCTGCAGAGTGAAATTACATCTCTGTGTTGGCAGATTTCCTGCGGCAAAGCAAGTCAAACTGTAAGATCAATGCAGATCATGATCGCAACTACAGATCATGAATCGCTGGGCATTGACTGTCAAGGTTCACGTTCTCATGACCCATGCTGGTGAATAATGCCCACGAATGCGGGTCTCATTCAGTTGTGTCCTTGTTGCTGCCCACCTGATGTACCTATTCTCAGTGACCTGCATGTTGACATAACTGCGAATGGAAGGACCTGCACGCAGCAGAACCCGATCGGATCAGCAGCCTATTGCTATGCATGGCTATAGGCACAAGATAGACACAATGTTCGATACCCATCATTTCCGGACACGAAGTCATAAAGTCATGAAGGTCATTTTCCTTGTTCGGGCATTTAGGGTTTTAGAGTTTTAGGTCTATAGTAGTCTTGATGACCTTCATGTCTCCATGACCTTCCCATCCGGTCATGATAGTATCGGAAAATCCTCAAGCTGGGCGGCCAGCGCCTGCTGGGCAAACGTGCTCACTCAGTCCCTTTGCGCAGACCCACAGAAACCCACCCGCATGCATCATGTTTCTCTGCCCAATAGCGGCAATCCACACAGCAGATCCCGCACAGCCGCCATTACGAACAAGGAGCTTGTTGCTGCTGCAACCTGTCAGAAGTTCGATAACCAAAACGGCGGCGGGGCGGACGGTAAGCATGCACGCGAGTGAGCAGAACGTGCGGCAGGCACGCTCCAGGCCACAAGATCCCCAACTAATCAGTAATCACAAGCAGTGGCATTGGGTGAAATGTTGACCAAGTTGAGTCATCCAACGTCACGGTGTGCATGTGGTGTGTATGTGTTATGAAATCCGGGGGACACAATGACATGCTGCTGCGCTGGGATTCCGCACGACGGCGGGCCCACGCCGTCTCCCAACACACCAATATGCAACCCACGAGGATGCACTTGGAAACTGGTTTCGATTGATTCTCGTCGCCAGTGTTCGATTGCAAATGAGGAGTACAGGTCGGGAATGGCTCAATTAATGGACATCACCATTCACAGCCGGCAAACGCACTGGCTTCGTGTTCAGTGCAAAACTCCAATCTGGAGCACTTGCGGCGTTGTGAGAACCTTGAGTCCAACATCAGTGCGATGGGGATGCAGCAAGCCACTGGCACGGTGCCACCGTCTGTCCAACACGAAACGGTGACTGGACTGGTCTCAGGCCGTCAGGCTCGGCGGTTCGGCGAAGGGGAACGGGCAGAGGTCCTGGAAGTGTGGCTGGCAGGACGGAGGGGACATTGCCGAACGGTTTCATGGTTCTATGGCTGAGGTTGCACAACGCCACGCAGTTTTTTAGGCGAACTAGCCGCTGGCGAAGCTTGCCTTTGGCATGCCAAGCAGCTCGACCTTTGAGCGCGCTTTGGTTGCGTGCTCTCGATCGTGGCAACGTTTTCTCGCTGGCCGCGGCACGGCACCCGGCCAACTCAGCAGCACGTTGATAAGTGCATTGCTGCCAGCTGCACAGCGTTGATATTGGTACTGTCCACCTGGCACCAGCAGTACCCAAAATCTCTCCCACTGGACTACTGAGCCGACAAATCTGCAGTCCAGCGTGGCCCCAAACTGTGCCAGTACGAGCTGAGCCTTCACCATATCTTCACGGCTGACGTGTTGAGAATCACGGCTGACGTGTTGAGTATCAGCCCGGTCGCGCCACCCACAACCCTGAGCTGTACTGCTCTTCAGTACTCCGAAGCGCAAAGACGCCCGGCTGACAGACTCCCACAGCATATTTCGACTACTTCCCGTGCTCCCTGCCGCTCGGCCGCCCAGCTGGACGGCCCGAGAAGAGTCCAGGCTGCCGGCGACCGAGCCCTGACTGCGCCTGCACTGGGCATGGCGCCAGCGGCATTGTTGTGGTGACACCAAGGAGCCGTGCCTCCGCCTACAACAATAGTGCGGAAGGCAGGATCGTTGCCCTCGGCGATCCCATCGATTGCTGCGCCCAGGAGCAATGAAGGGCACCGCCAGGGGCACCGCAAGGTGTGCAGCTGCTGCTGAAAGATACTTTTGAAAATGCTGTCCCTTCCATGTGCCTGTGCGGAGGACGTCAGCTCCAGCTTCCGTGCAGCGCCAGCCCTCCAGGGTAGAGGCACCCTTTGAGGCCCGAGACCCCACACGTGCACCAAGCTACAGATCAAGGACAAGCGGGAATGGTGGATGTGTCTTGGACGGTTAGGTGTTGGGAACTCAGAGACCGGCAGAGAACTGATGCAGGCCATCCGACGTGGCTGCGCCGGCCCGCTCGACAACCGCATAGAGGTTTCCGTTTCTCTAACGTGGCCTGGAGGGCACCGTTTTTCCGCCAAGCCTCTGCTCCAACCTTGTCTTAAGCATCTGCACTGCGCCTGTTCCCCACCCTTCGCAAACTACAGGCTCCCTGTGGGAAAGACTCGTGGCCACAATGGTTGGCGACCGGTCACACCGCCCCCAGGGGCATTGGAACGGTCCTCACGGCAACCATAGAACTTGTGCTCAGATGCAGCCTGTGCACCAGAAGGTGACCGAAACATGCACGAAATTTCCTGTCGGGCTCCATCGGCCCACGAATTACTCGTGTGTTGTTTGCGCGTCACCTGCTCAGTCGCACAGGCCGACGAGGAGCCCCAGAGCACGGCGGCACCCTGACGCCGTCCGGCTGCACAGCTGACCCTCCGCTTCCAGAAAACCAAACATATCATGTGTTGGGGCGAGCATCGAGGGCAACGAGGCAGCCAAAGCGTGTTGCGAATCCCCCAACCCATCCTATATAGCTTTCTGTGATTTCTCCCGTACTCAGCCTCCTGCGACAGCTGTCGCAGGTTGAGCGTCACCAATGACACCATCTGGGGCAGGTGACTCAGCTGCAGTGGAAGCTGTTCTCCCGACACTGCCAGGTATAAGTTTGATCGAATTTGTCAGTTCGGCATCCAAACTTCGCAACAAAGGTGTTCGCAAATCCTGGAGCAAAAGGGGGGGAGGGGGCGCTTCAGACCACCAGTCTGTAGAGGCGGCATGTAGCATTTGTTTCAAGCAGGCTTGCCTGCACACTAGGCGCACGTACCTCTTAGCCTTTCCACAATTGTTCAGAGCCTATGACTTCAGTTCCAAGTTGCCAAGTGGAGGGAACAGCGACAACAATGTCGATGCCACACCTCAAACCCACCTGGCGACGGCCAGGCAGCGCCCCCTGTTTCTTTGTTTCAATTTGACATGGCAGTTTCCCGAACAAGACACGCTGTGTTTACGGTGCCAGACGGTGCTTTCATCTAAATTGATTTTGCCCAAAGTATACATGCAGATGGAGCCGGGAAAGTATGCGGAATTTCGGCCCACGCACTGATGCAACATTGGGTTTCCCAATGATTCCGTCAGTCATTGGATAATTGAGATATTAATTTGAAGCAGAGCAACGGATATTTCGACATTGTAGTTTTCAGCTTTGGCGGAGCGTTGATTTCAAGGGCGGCTTCTAAAAATTCACAGCAGCCGTTTATTTTTCTGCAGAATATGTGCAATTCCATCAGTCTACTCATGTCGAACTCCAAGTTTTAAATTTTCTTCTCTTCTTTCGTTGTTTCAGTCAATCTTCTTTAATTCATTGATATGAACTTCATGCATGATCGGATCATGCAATCGGATCATGTATGATCGGATCATGACGGATCATGATGATCCGTCTACAATGGCAGACCATTATGGCTGCTGACGAATCGGTTAGCATTGATCCACAGATGCTTTAATCGATCTTGTGTGAAGTGTACTTAACACCACAATTTCCATAAACATCAATGCATTTAAAGATGAAGGCAGCACGCGCGATTGCATCACGAACACCACTATGGTTCCACCAAAAGCTCGCCTGTGCATAGCTAGGCACCATCCTGTGGCGCTTCTCGTATGGTAGATATGATCGCCCGTGAAATATACCACCAGCCACTCTTCCGTTCCTGCAACACAGAATAGCCTTCACTGAGATTGTCTAAGGAGATAGGAACATACATATATTAAGCTGCGTTGATATTAGTTGGCAGCGAATGCTTAAAAACACACGGGGTGTGATGCCAAACTACAAGTGCCAAGGAAAACCAGTTGCGCCCGTTTAAAAGCAAATTTGCTATCCAAGTTCCAAGCAGTTTTCGCCTTTATGTAGAAACGCGTTAGAATAGCTACGACGACAAACACAATCAAAATGCAGCGTCACACCTATTAATAAGAGAGCGTCCATATTTGCTTGCAAGTTTACGATGAGCCAATGCAAGTGTGTTTGACAGTGTACATGACAATTCACCGACTCGCATCCTCCACCAGCCCCCATGGGTGTGCGGCCAAATTACAGCCTCCACCTCGCCCTCAAAAATTTGCGGTCCTTTAAGTGCGACGACGCCGTCGATCCGTCATTCTAGACGGTCTGGTTGCCCCTCAAGGCTATGGGCCGATGGCGCATATGAAAACCATTAACATGTGAATTTATTAACATGTCCGTATAACGTGTGTGCAATCTTTTAAAATATGCTAACGTATTCACATTGCATCTGTACATAATGCGTACACATGTCTACCCTTAAGTATCCAGCCTACCATGCAACGTGGGTCTTAGTCTTGCCTGTGAAGCTACGTTTATGTGTTCAAAGCAGCATGAGCTACATGGCTGCCCACTGAAATGGGAGCCGTCCATGCTGACAGCAATTCACCCACAAGTGTAGAAAAAGAGATACATCAAAAGGCATGCAATGACTTGCATGGAGGTGTGCATGTGAATCCTCGATTCTGAAGGTTCAATGAGCTCCGATCGTTCCAGAAGCACAGCAGGGTGGTGCGCTGGATTTGGCGCAGCCAAACGTTCTTCTTCTCCTTCTTCCCTTCCAAATTAAGCATAAATTCTGGTGCTTCTTTTCAAAATTGTTCTTGCGCCAATCTTGCCAGGCATTGTCCACATTGGGACTGCTTTCATTACTTTCTGCTTAACATTTTCGCCTAAACTGTATCTTTGCTGTTAATGTTTGGTCAGGCTCCGTTGGAAATGCTTAAGTTCACCTTAGAGACGCAGATACTGCCTCCGTTACAAAAGTATCGTCCGATCTCCAAAACTTCGCGAACAGATGTCAAAACGCGCTAGTGCAGTGGCTGAACAATTCAGTGGACCATGTGTTCTATGCCCAGTGATATGCCACAATCTTGGTGAGACAATGATGCGTAACCTGCCTTCCGCGTCCGTCCCCTAAGACAATATGAGCGAAATGTCCAGCGGATGCGCAATGGACATAGCCACTATGCCATGGCCGCTGTCATTAATGCGGTTGGTGATAGCGTAATGAGAGGTTCGCTGACTGATCGATGTTAAGTACAGGTCTCGCCAGCCATAAGGGCTCTGCAAGCTACGGATAATGGCTCAACGACACCAGAATGCCTAGTGACAGATGAGCACATGTCGAATAATGCTCCAAAACCGAAGATTTATGTGTGTGAATTAGGACAGGTTGGAATCTATGAGTCAATTTTATTTGGAATCAGCGCCTTTTCCAGTGTTTTCCCTGAGCTTGTTAATGGGCATAATGTCCAAACTCCGCTCCTGAATGGCAGCAATCCTCGGATTTTCATTGGTAGTTTAGCCACAAAGCATACAAGCAAGGTGCAGCCAATGGGTCCTCCCAACGTACATTCAACGTGCACTAAATTGTGAACACTTCCTGTGCAACCAATACCCCCAACACGAACATTCTCAACCCCTAGCTTGAGGCCTCTATGCAAGAGTCCCATCCTGCTCCGAGGGCGACCGAGTGTGTCCCATGTCACTGGTGCCGTGATGGCAGCACATCGGGCATCGCCCATCCTCTACCGACATTTCCCTCCGGTTTTTCCCCTCTCCTTTTGCTTGTTGCCGACGTCGGCGGAACATGGTCCTTATCTCCATAACTGGTGTGCGGAGCCATACTCCAAGCCAACGAACTCGACTCGCACAAGCTTGCTCGCGCATGTCCGTGACAGTGCCCCTTGGCCATGCCCACTGCGACTACGCACCCCTGTCCCTTGCCGCCAACAGGGGTAAGCACATTTGAAACGTCTGGATGCACCAGACTCCTTCCCATCCCGCGGAGTTCGACGCAAGTGCCTGCGGTGCGCTCCCTTTGAGAGACCCATTGAGGGCGCGGCCTCCTTCTGGATGCCTCTCAAACGAGACGCGCCGCAAACACTGGCAGGAAAACCCTCAGGTTGGGCGAGAATCTCGTCCCGGCAGGAAAGGAACATCAAGGGCCAACATGCCTGCGCCTGCTCGTTTTCTGACCCCTTGCAACGACCGTGACGTGTCGTTGGTCTGAAAGAGCCCTAGCAAGAGGAGCGCCGCAAAAGTTCTACTGCCGCGGGTGACGCCGCTGCGCAGACTCTCGCCTTTTCAACACGCTGCGGCACGGCCCCCGCCTGTACGGCTGTTTGGGCTCCCAACGCGTGGCAGACTTTGCGCGGTTGTACCCAGCGGCGTGACTACCTCAGGGGGCACTGAGTTTCGTCACGTACCAAGGTTGCTGGCCACGGGGAGTTTGCCAGTCTGTCTGGGTGCTGACAACCACGGGCTTTGCCAACTGCGCAGCGGCACTGCTGTCCCATGAAGTCGACGGGAGGCCATCGGGCAATCGGGTGGCTGAACAAGACACGTCTCCGCCTAGCGAGAGCCCACATGCGAGATGGCCGGCACGATCATAACCAGCACTGGGCTGATGATCAACAGCCGCAAATGCGACTCTCCCCGTGTGGAACGCGTCGGGGGACTGCTTTCGAAATTGGACAAACGGGGTCCGCCGCAGGCCTTCCGGGATGCACGACGAGAGGCTTACCATGAGCCGCGAGCACCCTTGCGCGCTCAGGCCACCGCCGCAACCGGTCGCCTTCACCCCATCGAACCTCGCCGTGAGATGACGTCCAAGGTTTCCGTTGGGGACCGTCGATGAGGAGTCAAGGCGGAAGTCGCCGCACCCGGCGACCTGCAACGCCAGTCTCTGCTGGGCTGGCCTCCGGCACCCCAGCACCCCCACCAAGGTTGGGCCCGCCGATCACAGCGTTTACATAAACGATGGCCATTGGCCCCCGGTGTACTCTAAAGCTGTGTGAGCTTCCTTGTCCCTGAGTTGGACCGGATCATAGGCTGGGATGAGCCGAAGGTTACCTGTCCACACCGCGACTGTCCCATCAGCAGCATCTTTGGAAGGCCAGCCTTACGAGAGGCGTCGCGCGATTGTGTGGTATATGCCTTGGGCACGTGGTATGGTTTTCATCACCCTTTCTTTGTGAGATTTCTTTTGTGATGGTGTTGATTGATTCCTTCACTCTGTGTTGGTTGATTCCTTCGCTCTGCGTCGTTTGGAGACCTGCAGCACTTTCATTAATGACAGTAGTACATGCAGATGCTTTGTGTGGGAAATCATGTGGCAGCACCAAGTTGCGATCAACGCCCTTCAATGGCCTCAGTCACGAAAATCGCAGTGTTGAGGTCATGTTCAATGAACCCCTGTCACCATATATGTTAAAAAGAAGCCAACGCCTATCCCCTGTGGCTGGTCAGATTCAAACGACATGTTTCTGGTTTACCTCAGGGATCAATGGTCAAGGCACTTTGAGATAGTCCTTCCAGGTGCACTCCAACAGGGCGCATAAAGTGGAGAGAGTTGCGAGTGCAGGGCGTTGATCGGTGGATTACGTCGCTACCTACGTGCCTTCTTTTATCGAAATGCAAGACTGAAATTGCCAAAATGCCATGGACAGGCCCGGGTAAAGAGGTCCCGTCAGCTCCCCATAATGTAGTTTAGTTTACTTGCTTTGGGCGTTGAAAAAAAGCACCCCTGTTTGTCAACAGCGCCCGGCGTCACGGTTCCAGACGCTCAGGTGCCTGAACGTCTGCCGAGGCGGACACGGGCATGGCCGTGCCGGCGGCCCAGACGTTCAGGCACACCCCACCGTTCCTCGAACAGCAGTGCTGCAGCTGTTGAGCTGCAGGTGTCGCTGAAAAAGGAGAGAGTCCTAGTCGTTGGGGTGGAATGGTTGGTCCCCCTGGCCTGCATGCGAGCCACCTGCGCCGTCGCACCACCCTTGTGGACACATCAGGTGCTTGCCCTGAGGGGTGGGTGCGCGAATGGTGCCCCGCCAGAAACCCATGTCCGCCCGGTTCATGACGCTGTACCCGTCAAACACTCTCACTCCCTGGACGCCTACACTGCCGCCCACCCCCACCGCCCCTTGTGCATTTTGCCTTCTGGCTCCGCGCAGCCAGCGCCCATTAGGAGTTGCCCTAGATGGCAGTGGGCAGTCATCTTCACGTAGGGCACTTTGCCTGGCGCCTTCCATGCATCCTTGTGGCAACGGCTGCGCGGGCTCAAGGCACGAACGGCGGCAACCGTGGTCGGGCCGGCAGCAGCCAGCGGCCGCAGCGACGCTGTACAGTTGGAGTCCAAGCCGCCGCTGCGCTTATCTGCCGCAAAGCCCCCACCTCCGAGATACGATGTCGCTTGCGGTCCCAAATATTGTTGCCAACCTCAGTACTGAGATAGTCAACACCAGATGGGCCGCTCAGGACTCGCAGTGTCCTGCTGGCTGTTCTCTCGGTGTACAGCAGTGTACGTTCACAGGTACGTGTACATTACAGGCCGCACGTTGCCCAAGGATATCACTTGCCGAACAGCTGTTTCCTGCAACTTCCAGTCTTGTTCAAGCCACGTTCACTGTTGAGCACTGTGTACCAGACACCGATGCAGCGTGCGTCAAAGCGATGTCGGCTGTTGTAGTCCCGGCAATGCATTGGAGGGAGCCTTTTTCGCCTGTGAATGGACGTGTTCAAAGACGCACGCATGTCAACCGGTTGACATGCCCTCAGCGGTACCGCTGAAGGCGCAAGACTGATTCAGTCTTTTCAGAATTTTCTGTTGGAAAATGCTGGAGTTCTTTCTTTGAAGACGTCATCTGCTTCCTGGTTAACAGGAAAAAGGAGCCAATGGCAATGGCGCTGCTATGGTATTTGAGGTGCAGTATTACTCCTTTGGTCTATTGATTTAACGATTTCCTTCAATTTGAAGGAGATGGTCCACAAGAAACAAGGCTGTATGATCACAGTTCAATCAGCATTGCGCATGGCTTTTGTGAGAAGGAGGGCTGAGGATGCCTAATGCAGGCAGTGACCTCCTTGTTGGCGACCCTTGCCAACAATGGCACTGTAGGATTAGAATGGACATCAGAATGCAAAGAAACTTCGTCACCAGACGAGACGAACTCTAGATTACAGTATGTGTTCTGATGGCGGTAATGGAAGTTGAATCTTCGTCTTGAGGCAAGGATATATAGAAATATTGTTTAAAGAGCTTTTGATGTTTTTGTGTCACTTTAATGCGCTAGCAGACGATTCTGCCTATCGGTAGCCTATCTTCATCATATTGCAGTCCATGGTAACGTTGTTAATGGAAATCCGTTGCAACTACATTCGCCAAAAAAATGGCAAAGCAAGCCCTGTCACCAAGCTGGCGATGTCGGGTTGTTAGTCTATTGTAAGATAGAAAGCTTTGGCGATGGGCGCTCCATCACCGCTTGCTACAAAATAAGGCCCATGATCTTCACCGTAATTTGTTGTATGCTTCAAGACTTAAACCGAAGCACTAAAACTCAATACCTTATGTTTTTTTAAAAGAAATTTTAATTCAATCTATTTTAATTCAATTTATGAGCAATGGGCGGTGTCTCACAGAATGCATAGAGCATCGCCAGCCCCCGCCCACCTCTCAGAAACTTATTATTGCGCTGATGCCATGTAGATACATGGCATCAACGCAATGAATACAGCGCCATGTTTTGGTGATATCGGTAGCGAGAATTGAATATCAACGTTCTGTTCGTGTTAATTGCCTTCCTACTGGACAGGATGCAAAGTGCTCCATCGCGAACTTGCCATGTTGACCTCGTCATCTGCCGATGTGTTGATTTTCACTTGTTTGCGAAACGGCAGTGCAGTCCATCCCAGCTCTTCTGCCATGTGGTGCATTGGTGCAGCAGTGAATTAAAGAGCTTTTTAGAAAGCTGCAAAATTTCTGGAAGATGTCGTTGACTGATCAGTGCATCCTTGCCGTAAACATCATCAGCATGGAACTAAACTGTTGACCCAATGTGCTGCTGGCTGGATTTCAAAAGCGTCCGAAGCTTGGTACACTTTCATGAAAAGATCTATTGAATGAATGAAAATCAGGAAATGAACATCCTGGATGCAGTTTGATGACAGCAAGCACCGGCTTCGTCCTCCTACTCATGCATGTGAAGTGGCAAGTGCTCCAGCGCTTCATCAGATGAACTGTAGAAAGCACAAATGCATAAGCATGTAGGGGATATGAGCAGCGTTGCATGCATAGGATTGTTCAACAGCACCCTGAAACGGCAAGGTACACTCTATTAGGGGCACTTAGTTCGCGATTTGTGCAATGCCCTTTTTAGGGACTATTTCGCGGCTCATGGGAAGCATTGCGGTGACCATTCCTCATGAGAAATCTTTTGATGAAGAGACCTCCCTTCGCCTCACGTACACGATGCTAATGCTCTTGACGCCAAATTTGAACCAGTACTCCCACGCTCTGCACTGCACATGGATGCGCAGTGCAGATGGAGATGTCCATCTTGAACATTTGCCCTATGTTGTTGAAAGCGACAGCTATCTGACCTGATTCTTAGGCGTCGTTGATCTGCATGCCATGAGACTCCCAAGCACTTAGGTGTCAGAACACCCGGCAACTGATATTTACACGGCACCACCATCCTCTTTCCGGCTGGCCTGTATGGCAGCTTTGAAGCCAAGATGGACCTTTGCTGCACAGCATCGGCGAATTCAGTGCGATTCGGATTTGGGATGAACAAGACTGCGCCCGTGCTCCTACAACTCGGAGGCGATGACGTGTTGCATGTGAAGCATGCACACATTGTCCATTTAACTTTTTCTCCTGTGTAGGCACAGAGCCACACGCTGGCCTCTTGCTCCAAGAGCGACCGGCTGCCGAGGCGATTGTTGCCCTGTTGCACTGTTTGCATCCAATATTTTCATTCTATTGGGTGTCACCCATTAGAATGAGTGTCACCCCTTGAACACTTCACTGAGGAGTGCAGTCTCCACAGGCCTTTTGCTTGACAGCGCCATATGCTGAACTTCCCGGCGGCCCCCCGATTTCCTCGACACACAAGTTCCTGTCAAGTGGACAGTGCAGTGTACTTATCCCGGGGAGCAACCATTTTGTTTCTGCACTAATGTTCTGCAGCCACTAATAGTTCAAACGGCCGCAAGATAGAGGTGCGAGGTCAAGTGGAGACCGCACATATAGGCAGTTCGGCTCCCTTGGAGTTCGCCTCCCTACGCTTCTGTTGTGTGTTTGGCGTTGCGGTTGGCTCCGCAAAATGCAGTATCGAAATTTGGGACGATCGGGATTGAAGGTCAGCGTCTTGTCCTTCGGCGCTTGGGTAACATTCGGGAGACAGATTCAGGTGGAGCAGGTGAGGTGCTTCCGCAGGGCAGCCATCCACGGTGCTGAAGCAAACGCCCCTGCTTGATCATTGGAGCGGAAAAGCGTCTTACGCGCCAACGGCATTGAGGGTCGCAGTGTTTCACAGCAATACCGCAAGGGATGTTCTCCGCTGGGTGCAGTGCAGGACGCACTGAGCACGGTTGCACATTGTCCGGTCATGATATTCTTCTGTGAAACTTTGTTTTGATAGACAAAGCGGATCCCTTGCATTTTGCAAGTGATGATGAGCATCCAGGCTGTTAAAATCGTCTTTCTCTCACCTGTTCATAGAATCCACTCTCAAGCTTCTGCCGGCGCATTGCCAAGGATCGTGTTGTAATTTGTGCCTTCGGTGTTGTGTGCTAACATCCCCAGCTTCACCGCCTACCTAGCATTATGTCCAGTTTCGTACCATCATTGACTGCACTTGTACAAAATGGATATGCAATCTATTACTGCCTTGTTATGGACTGGAGATGGATTGTTTCAGTATGCTGTAGATGACTTCGCTGCCTGATTTTGTTGCAATGCAACGCTTGTGCGTTGCCCATCCAGTTTCTCTCTTTAGGAGTACGTCAGTGGTGCATAAGGCATTGGTGTTATGCCTGACAAGGGTGGCACAAAGGAGAATGCTCCTGCAATTTCCCTTCTGTTGCCCAACCCTTCACAATAGCCTTTGCTCGCTTGGAATGGCAGTTGTGCTGCAACACATCATTTGCCTTAAGTGCAAATGACAGTAAAGTCTGTTGTCATGGCAGCAGCTGTTTGTCTTTGCTACTGTCTTGCTCTCAAATGCTAGCTGCCCTTGCTGCTACTACCCTTTGAAGTCTGTGCTCATGTGCTTGCTCAGTTCACAGCTATGTTGTGTGTTGCAGGCCAAGGAACTGATGTCCAAATGCTATGATGCTGGTGTCAATTTGTGAGTAAAGTTGGGAGCCTATGAGCCATAGTTTCCAGTGGAGCCTAAATGCTGTTGCTATTCGGTTCCTTGTGTTGCTACCGCAGGAAGCAATGGAGTGTTCCTGTCATCTGTCTGCTGCTGCCGCAAGATTTCGGAGTGCCCACTGAAGTTCAGCTCATGTTTGTGTGCTCCTTAGCTTTGACAATGCTGAGGAGTATGAGGATGGGAAGGCAGAACTGGTCATGGGGCAGGCACTCAAGGTGAACACATCTCATGGAACACAGCTTGAGCAGTTGGCATCAGACAAGCAGAGGAAATGGGCTCAAGCTGTCATGCACACTGTCATCAGAAGTCTGCACTTATCCTCCTCAATCCAGTGGTGTACTGCAGGAGCTTGGCTGGAAACGTTCAGACATTGTGCTGAGCACCAAAATCTTCTGGGGAGGTCATGGTGTGAATGGCATTGGGCTTTCCAGGAAGCATCTCATCGAAGGAACAAAGGTGCGCGGTCACCAGCTGATCAAAACGGAAGAGAGGAAAGATGGCATATAGATGAAATTTTGGTGCGAAAACCGATTGAGAGGATTGGCTTGTTTCAGGCGTTTGTGCACATCGAACGCTTGCCATTGTTGCCTTCATGAGATGCCAGCACACATGTGAGCAAATTTCTGGCTGGTGGGAACTGTTACTGGCGAGGTGGCAGTCAGTTCATTGCTATGACTGAGGGCCAAAAGATTCATGGTCGGCACCAGATTTGTGCTGGCTGGAAAAAGGGAATTGCATCTCAAGCTCTTTGATTAAATAAAAGAGAATCATGTCATGCAACAGGACGGCCCCTTCCCGAGCAAAGGTAAGAACCTCCCGCATACTTGGAACGTGAATTCGAGTCTCCACATACAGGAGGAAAATGCAGTAGTTCATGTATTGGAATTGTAAGAAATTGCTCATGGAAGGGGCACTTCAGACAGCAAGCCACAGAACGGGTGATTGTGCAGCCAGCTGCTTGCTGGGATGCGCAAGCCCTGAGAAAGCTGGGTGCACATGGCTCCATACACAGATATAACCAGCAGTAGGGGCCTGCTTTGTGTCCAGGCATCCCTCAAACGACTGCAGACGGACTATGTTGATGTGCTGTTCTGTCATCGCCCCGATCCTTCAACTCCCATTGAGGAGACTGTGCGTGGAATGAACTACCTTTTGGACAAGGGGTATACATTTTACTGGGGGACCTCTGAGTGGTCTGCAAGCCAGATTATGGAGGTAAGGGCTGTTGTACAGTTCTTTTGTAGGTCACATATGTGTTCTCACAGTTCGTATAGCACAGCAAGCAACTCAATGCAACTCAGCACCCTCGCACAACACCAGATCAATTAGCAACTGATAGGCATTGAATTGTTGCTCAACTTGGGCTGATAACATTGCCGTCCATTGATCCTGCTGTGCAGTGTACTTCCAACGTTGCTGGCTACAGTGTTGGTGTATGAGGGACACTGTCCAAATCATGCAGGACTTGTTTAGGGTATTCTAGATTTGAATATTGATGTGTCTGGCACTGGAGCAAGCTCTGGAGGGCTGGCATAACGTCCTATTCTCTCCATCGGGGTGTCTGGTCAATAGTCTGTTACTTTGTTGAACAGGTGTTTCAGTGCGCTGTGACATAGTGATCACAGGGTTAGCTCAAAGCTCTCTTGTTCTTTGCGTGTTCCTGAGAGTTATGGTGGCCTGTTGAACGGGAGATGTTGCAGTGCCTTGCAGGCATGCGGCATTGCCAAACGACTGCACTTGGTCCCCCCTATTGTTGAGCAGCCTGAATACAACATGTTTACTCGGAAGCGAGTTGAAGAGGAATACTCCTCAGTATACGAATCCTGTGGCATTGGCCTGACCACATACAGTCCCCTGGCCTGTGGGCTCCTCACTGGGAAGTACCTGCAAGGCGCACCACAGGACAGCAGGCTGGCGCTCGACGACTTCAAGGTAGGCCAATGTAGTGCCCTTGACTTTCTTCACATACCAAACTGGAAAATGTGACTGCTGGGCATGCAGTGCTCAGTGTGCCGATTTCCCTATTTTGTGAAGAAAGCAGAATGCAGTTTTGATAGCAATGTACAACTTGATTGCCTTCTTTGTAGATGCGCGGTTGTCCTGAGGAATAGTTCCTGGAAGCTGTGAATGGGGAAGGAAGCTCAGTCTTCAGGGAGCCTGCTGTAGCACAACTTTTAAGATGGTGATCAGCGTTGAGGTACCCATCCGCTGTTGCTGTGAACCCACAAAATAGGTGCATCTGAAACTGAATGCTTGCCATTAAGGGTCCCATCTGGAGAGTCCTGTGGTGAAGTTTCGCTCAGCAATAAGGGTTGTTTATTGCCCTGTCACAGTGATGCGTCCCTTTCAGTTCACCAAATGCTGGTGCATCTCAACATACCTGGTGCACGTGCTGCCACAGTTGTCGGGAATCCCACCGTGCATCAGAAAACCCTTGTTCAGCAGTGCCTACTCCACTAGTATCAAGTGCAGTGCAAATGAGCAGCTGCAGACTACCAGTGCTTCACACGCTGCCCAACTGGGGTAGTGATCGAACTTTGCGCGCACCTGTTCATCTGTCCGATGTCGGTTCTACACCGTTGTTTGCGTGACATTGTCGCCATCGCCTTGTGGACAGGATACCATGCAAACCACAGAATTTCGCCAACGTGCTCAAGTGGTGGAACGCCTGCGACCCATTGCTGATGAGCTTGGGTGCAGCCTGGCTCAGCTCGGTCTCGCATGGTGTGCGTCGAACCCCCATGTCAGCACTGTGATAATGGGCGCCAGCAAAGTTAGCCAGGTGGGTGGCGACTCGTGGTGTCTTTTGACTTTTCTTACACACATGCGGCATCATGCCAAGGACAAACACACGACAGAAGTTTGGGATATGTGTGTGTGGGGGGGCCTGTGTCGTGTGCAGCACACGTTATGTTATGCAAATCTGTACTTTGATAGTATTAAATCGTCTACGCGACAGAATGGCCAAATTGTAGTAGGTGTCCGGCCGTCAGCTGCACACAACCGTACTCTGACGTGCTTGGAAAGATGTAATACTAGCACAACCCTGCACATTCAGGATCGGTGGCTGGTTGTGCACTCAGGTTGAGGACAACCTGAAGGCACTGGAGATTATTCCAAAGTTATCAGATGATGGAGAGGAAGGTCGCAAGTGGAGGCGAAGAATTGAGTCTGTGATTGAGCCTTAGACTTCCAGCGCTCCAACTTGATGCTGTGCGTTTGCAGTAGAATTAGTTGCAACAATGTGTTGATATTGTATTGCGTGTGCGTGTATCCATGATTGTTCAGCGTGTAGCAAACCTTGCAGTTCCCTCATCTTCCCTGTTGCCACTGGTTCTTGAATGCGCTTCTCATGTTCCATTTCATCCACGGGCTTTATTATGTCGACGAAATTTAGGCCCATGTGCATGGCGTCCATGGCTTGATGTGTGCCGGTTGCTCCTTGATTCATTCCTGGGGTCTTGCGGAGGTGCGGCACTGCGCCAGCCGCCCCAATGGCGCCTCCGTCGGGGTGGGTTGGTGCTGCACGTTCTTCCTCGGTGATTTGCTGTTATATTGACAGCCTGTCAGCTTCATCCTGGTCGCAAAAATGAGGTGTACGCGTATTCATATCCTGCTGTGCCTCCTCTCCCGTTCGAACAGAAGAAGAGGGACAGCAGAATGTCAATATTCGGACGCATTTGGCAGCATTGCAATATGCCTGACGCAAGTGGGCCCTGACCGATCGGGTGTGTAAGTGTCCGTACAGATGTTGTCGCAATAGAAAAGAGTTCATGCACGATGCCAATGCACACTGTATTGACGCGATGTCTGCATGGAGTACTGGTCCGCATTGGTCCGTTTCAGACGCACTTGCCTGCAATCCCATTTTTATTGCTGCAAGGTTTCTTTCCACAAGCCTTAACCCGCGGTTTGAGCAATGACGCGGCCGCCGCCGAGCGCAGCAGGTCGCGGGGCGTTATGGTCCAATTCTTTCATTGCTGGCTTCAGCAATGCCCTGGAGTTTTTACCTGGAGCTGTAGTTCGCAAGGGGGTCCATTTCCGCTCGCAAGCCTGAGAACTGTTATGCGCCAATCACAACTGTGCGATCACCGTGCTGGGACCTTTGTGGCGCTTGTGGTTGTGTCAACACTTGGGACAGTGAAAAACGCATCACTGTTCTGGCGCTTCGGAATGTCGCCATGGAAGATAGCAGTCAACGATAGATTCCGTGCTGCAAAAGTGGGCAATCTGCCCTTGAAATAGCGGAGAACACGTGCATTCCTGTATTTGTCTTCTTTGCCTAGGAACTCGAGCCTACATGTTGGGGCCTGCTGCTCGAGCAAATAATTTTGACAGTTTTGGAGGTACATACATCTCTGCACCCGCCGAGTGCCGATGGAGCTGCTTATTGCGCTGTCATACACAATGCGATGGGCTGATACCTATTGCGGTTGAGTTTGGCCTTAGACTGCATATATGCTTTGAAAGCAGCACATATCACATGGCCATTATGCGGCTTCCACACCATTTTGCTTGGAATAATGATTCTCATCCAAGTTTGCAATTGAGGCTCAGGCTGCAACTGCTCAGAACCAATCGGCCGATTTTACGCATCTCCAGCAACTCCCTGGTGCTCCTCGCCATCTCTATTGGCACGGCTGACGGCCGGCTGCATCCCGATTCGCTGTGAATAATGAACGCAAGCCTATGCCTCATGACGTCTCCCCCCAAGATTCAAATGAGTTGGCAATGCGCGAATGAGGATTGAACCCAAATATTCTTCTTCTTGCAACTTCCATTTTTGCCTTCTTCATATGCGCTAACTTTGTGGGGTGTTCTCCCTGGCGATGTCGTTTCATTACGCACTGAGGGCATCCTGCCCAAACTTGTCCGTTGCTGCATGACAACGGTCTTCTTTGCGACCTACTCACTGGACCTCCGCCTGCTGTTGGCACCGCGCTTCCGTACCCAACCATCTGACTCGGCCCCTCATGTGCCTTGTACCCTTTAGCACCACGCGCTTTTCCTCTCCATCCTCCCCCACTCCCAAGCCTACAGCGCGCGCCTGTCAAGTAGGGGCCCTGCATGTGGCTGGCAGTGCTTTCGCTTTGGAAAGAGCGAGCGTCAATCCCGCCGGTGCCTCCTGAATCGCCACATGCACATTCTGGAGAGCCAAAGGAGTCCATGCTCTCGATCCACCGGGAGCCAGCCGATGCCTGCTCGTGCGCCTGCCGCTGCGACTCAGGCTCACCCACGCAATTCCTGTAAACATTCTCGATATTGTCTACTCGATTTTCCTTCTCGCCACACATGCCGGGGATGTAATGGCTTGAAGGCCCGGCTGGGCCTTGGCACATGCCACCGACAATGGGATTTGGCCCATAGTAGTTTGGAGCAGATGGGCCGCCCAAATGGCACCTGCTCGTGCCACATTCGTCTGTTGTGTAGTCGCTCCAGTTAATGACAGAACGACCCTGGCGCTCTGTAAATGGCGAAATCCCAGCGGGTGCAGTCCCGCAGTGGGGCTGGGCTCTGTGCCCGACAGCTCCATGCAGACGCCAGCCGCAGTCATCAAGTCCCTCAGGCTGCAAACGACCCTCATCGGTCGGCCCGAGTTGCCATGGCGACTGGGATTTAGTCACCAGGTGACCGCGCGGCGCCTCTGTGGGAACCCTGTAGTACGGCTGAAGTTGCGAGTCCCTAGTGCAGGCGCTGGTCGCCTTCCCTGCCTTCCTTCTGAGCACGCTCAGCACGGAACTGATCTCACAACCGGCCCTTGCCTCCGCACCCTTATTTCTGGGGGAACGTGGTGTGTTCAGTGCTTCGGCGCCCCGCGAGAGCTCTCCTCTGGTGGACGCAAGCGAGCGCTGTCTTGAGGCCACTGGGAAAGAGTGCATTCCCTCCGCGCATAACCCCCTCGTGGTTGCTCCAGCATGACACTGAGGGGGCGTCGCTGATGTGGCCTCGTGGCTTGGCCCCTGGAAAGCGCCTGCAGGCAAATGGGGCATTAACTGTGGCATTGGAGTGTGTTGGGCCTCTGTATTGTAGGGGTTAAGCGGACGAATGCACGGGCAGTGCTCATATGACTGCTGGGCCTTCTGGGGAGCCTTGTGCATAACCACAGAATACAACTTGCACTCTGTGGAAGTGCACAAAATTGTCCACAAGGACTCAGCCATCACATGAATACAGCTCATGCAATCGTGCGATTGAACTTGCCGAAATCAGCAGGGAGCAGTACACCATTCCGTCGCAGTCTCGCTGTGACCAAAGAAATGGCGGAGGCCAATTGTGAAGGTGTAGACAAGCAACACGGTGTGAAGTATGCATTGAGGACTCCACCCGTCTGTTTGGCTCTCCTGAAGAACAACATCATCCACACACAGAGCACATGTGTATCCCTTGACGCTTGTGAGTGCACTGCAACAAACGTTGGTGAAAACCCATTGTCCCAATCTTTGGATGATGTTGGACTTCACGGGAGCCAAGCAAACGGGTGGAGACCTCATGGCAGGGTGCCCATTGCCGTGTGATGTACATCTACGGAACGAAAATCACGGTCAGATCCTCAATGCACGGTGGAAGGCTGTCCCAGCAAGCCGGAAATGTCAACCGTGCTCCCGCAACCACAGCACAAGGGCAGGATTATTGACATTTTCTACTGGTCTGTCACACACGAGTCAGATACAGCGCTTCAGTCTGCAGTGGGGAACAAACAAATTGTGATGGTTTGCGTCATTATGGAGTGGAACCCATACCCTCCGAATTTACGTCGGCAGCAGCCCAACTTGTGGCTTTCCGATGTGTGGTAGAGTTCTCTACGCAGCTTGCCATGTGCATGTTGGGCTTGGCGTGCGACCCGACATCGTCCACGACATGACCCGCCAGTTCTGAATTTGGCTGCCGCTTGGGCGTGCTGGGTTGCAATTCGAGCTCGGAATGGGGAGCAGAAGCTGACGCAGCAGTGGCGGCTGGAACGCCGGCGTTGGGTGGTCCATTATCTGCGACGCCCGCTGGTGTATCTGGGTCCACTGCGCTCTCGTGGATATTCAATAACATTTGGGAGATTGCCGTGATGCCTGCTGATCCCTCTGAACAAGCAGGCACAACAGCTTTGGATCATGTTAATTTCCTTGAATTGTTGTCAATCGTGCATATTATCATTATTATGATTTTGTATCATACTCAGGACTCCATTTGTCAACCGCGTCCTCACACGGGAGATGCCGGACCTGCGCTGTTTAGGGTGAAAGGGCAGGGCGATGTAAAGGACACGGCAGCTGTGTGTTACAACCAAGTCATCATCCAATTGCACGCTGGTGTGTTTAGGCCCGTTGATGCACAGCGCTACGTGTGGAACGCTCTCAGATTTAGGTACTGAGTCAAGAGCGTTGCAAAACGCCGTATGCATCCATTAGCAAAACGCGTCCAGCAATTTTAGAACATGCGCAGTCACCTTCTGCCAGTATTCAAATCGCGCACCCGACTGTACTGGATTGAAGCAATAGTATTCAGCTCTGCGAGCCGGGTCGACAGCCCGCCTGCTGCTAGCATCGCAACCGCAGCCACAAAACGGTGGTGCCATGTGTGTCTGTGCGGTCACAGAGCGCCCCAGGTCGCTGATATTAGTTAATTTGTGACCACGAAACGCTTTGGAGTTGCAGCTAAAGGACTTGTTCATGATGCCATTTCATCGGTGGATATTACGCGCTTGCGGCAAGGCACCTCGGTGACACATCGCCTCCCGTTCTCTTTCCTTGTTGCGGCGGACTGGCTGTGGTGGAGGCTCCTGCACTGGCGCTGATCGGTAATCAGCTGCCACTGGATTGTCCGCAGAGTTGGCGCCCGCCAGTTGTGCCTCTTCTCTTCGTGGCCTCGCCGATTTGGGTGCCCTTGGAGTCACATGGAAGATCGCCTTCCTCGTGACATCAACGCCAATGAGCGCGTCGTGTATGACGGAAGCGACAACTTCGAGGCCAGCAACTGTGGAGGGGGGCCTTTTCACTTGTACGCGAGCCTGTCGAAAACCAGTGTAAAGGTGCATTATTGCAAATAGAAGCTATTAATCGATTAATCGAACAAGTCGAAAATACAGCAACAGATGCATTGTTTCAAATAGAAACGTTAACCGAAAGTATTGATGGGCATACAACATCGTTGGAACGGTGATTCGCAATGCAGATTACAATATGCATTGCGAATCGCC